TTATTAACAAATATTTATAAATAACCCCGAACTCGTCTCAAAAATTAAATTAATTATTATTAATTAACAAATTTTGATAGGCCAGGTTTTGGGGTGTTACACAACTCTTGAAAAAATTGTCGAAGAGGGTGATTCAGAAATTCAGTGCCATTATATTACCGAAGTCTTTATTGTTGTATGAATCTAGGTGTGGATAAAAGTGAAAAATTGTTCCAGGTAATAACTAGACACCTCACTTTTATCAATTATAAAATAGACCCATATTGCACCAACACTTGTCAAAAAGTAATGGGCACCAAAAAACAAACAAGGGGTGTAAGGGCCCCACAAATTATTGTGGATTAAAAAAATCTCATTGACTTTATTTAAACTGGAAAGAAACACAGAACAATGTTGATTCGAATAAAAACAAATCTCACATGACTCTAAATTTTAAGTTTAGAAGGACATTTATTAAAGGGAGGTAAAGACAAGAGACTATGAGAAGGATGACCAAGTCTCTTATGGAGGAGAGCTGCATGGTCGACACCCAATGCAGAAGAAAGAGCAGATGGATGAAGGACATAAACTCTATTGTTGGCTTAACCCAGCCCAATCTCTGCTTCTAGAATACAGTCATGTAACATACAACAATGATCATCAAAAATTAAAAGAGAACGGATATCAAATTACCATACAACTTCAGAATAAAGAGAACATTCCAAATAGTCAAAGTAGGCGACAACTTCACTTTGCCACATGATTTTACAACCACTTGTGAGCCATCAAGAAGTGTGATGGTACATGGTGAGATGCCAACAACATCAATGATACATGTAATGTTACTTGTTATGTGATGTGAAGTACCACTGTCAACAAGTCAATCATTGGACGAAGGCAGAGGCATACTATTGAGTTTCCCACTAGATGAGGAGGCATAAAATATGGATAATGGATGGGTGACCTGACCAGAATCTCGCACCGTACCATGGAGTTCAGCAGTGGCGGTCTTGGAAGGACTGTCAGCCTTGGGTGCAGTGCCCCCTCAACGGCCTACTCCTCCACAACCTGTACGACCCCAATGTGCCCCTCTTCCACCATTATGAAATCAAAAGATCATATAGCAACGATCAACAGTGTGCCCAGATTTCCCGCAGTGAGTGCATTGATAGTTATTGGGCGGTAGAGGTCGTATAGCAGTGAACACCATAGCGTCAGTTTTATCATTCCAGGCTCGGATGATTGAATGATGATGTTCTTTTTGAGTGATCAGTGTGAGTCTTTTCTTGCTCCACCTCAACAAGAAGGAGTTGAGTCTTATGACCCGCACAACTAGTTCTAAAGGGTAATAAACTATTTGTAATAAACCACCACAGATTGGCCTTTTTGTTTAAAGCTCTACATCTCAATTTCCAACTGATGAATATGTGGCCCTTTAGATCCCTCATAATGTGATTTCAGATTGGACCACAATTCATGAGGAACACAATGAGACACAATATTAGGTTGAATAGATTCATCAACACTATTTAAAACCCAAGCACAAATAATAGAGTTATTTGATTTCCATGCTGAGAGTCTGTGTTAGAAAAACCTTTTTGCCTTCCCACGGCCTTTCAAAGCATTGACAACTGCCTTTTTCCATGTATCAAATTATCTCCGTGCAAAAGATACTTTGTTAGTGAATTATCTGGGCCATCGGAAGGATGAAGATAATACGGAGAAGACGGATCATGTGGAATTGTGGGAGTCTTATTAGATGTAGCAGCTATCGCAGTGCTGCGATCGAGACATGAATGCAGGAGAAATAGTGAAGGCCGATGATACCCTACGTGCAGCGAGAAAGATGAAAAATGAAGGCAGCGGCTAGGTTACGTGAGTTGCGTGTATGGCTCTGATACTAGGTAGATTTTTAGGAAAAATTATTTTGCTTTGTCATTGATTGACAACACTATATATAGATAATTACATATGTTAGCTATATAAAGTCCAATAACAATATTTAATCCCATTTACAAATATAACAAGTAAATGCCCATCAACACTAATTGTTGTTGGCCAAAACAAAATAAAAATATGAACATGTGTCATATGCTCAGCAGTGTAGCTCGACTATTTAAAAAATGGAATTCATCGAATGGGGAAGAAGATTGAAACAAAATACGAAGTATGAAGAATTATGTTGAAATGAGAGGATAAGATGATGGGGTATTACTATCATCACCCGCTCCCTCACTTAACCGTTTGGCACTATCAAGTGGCCAAGATAGAACAAGGTTATGTCATAGTCAATGGTGAAGTCTGGTCTCTCTCCCTTAAAGACAACCTATAAGTCTTTAAGCAAAACTCATCTAGTCTCTGTGATGTGCAAACCTCTCTTTCCAGAGTTGGTTGTAATCAAAGTTCCACCATGGTTTTCCAACTCAAGGCATCGACCACCACGTTGGCCTTGTGAGGATGGTAATCGATGAGCAGTTTTAAGGACAGTGAGGCATGAAGCTGATGGATGGCTGAAGCTCTTACTTTATTATTTTAAACATTCTGTCTATTTATTACTATAAGTATTAAAGTTGTTTTTGGATGTTGAACTTAAAGCTTCTGCAAATGTTTGGATATTTTCACTCCAATTGACTTATGATTTATTTTTAGTTAATATGAACAGGTGTTTTATTTGAAATGTTTTAAATATTATGCATGTGAATATCAAATTAGTAGCAACTTGATTCGCTAACTCATTTGTTCGGATTACATGGGCTGGGGTGTTACAGAGTGTCATGAAGGATGTCTTCTCTTCATCCTGGGATGCATCCAACTTTGTTGATGTCCACTAATTGCATTCATGAACCTCATCAAATCACATCTTCTTGTCTTGTATACTAATGGATCAATGTTGGGGAGTGGAAATGGTTCCATTGAGCATGCCTTTGTTATGGTCAGTGTAGTCCACACACATCCTCCAGGTATTCCCTTTGGGGAGATGACCACATTGGCCAATCAATCAGGATACTTTACTCCTATAATATGGCTTATAGACTGTAAGGTTGTCACTTCATTAGCGATGAAGTACCTTCTTTCCAATGATAAGAAACACTTCTTTGAATTTGCTTCACTCGCTTGTGGCATGGGTCGATATCAATCTCTGACAGATAATTTCTGGGTCGACCCTTGGAAAATCCCCTGGTCTCCATGCAAAGAGGACACTAAATGCCGTAAGGACTTCCAAAAGTTGGCTCCTTAATGGCTGAGAGAGAGTGAGCCAGATTTTTACCTTTCTTTCTGGCCTCTCTTGGTCGAGGACCACCTCCTCAACAATTGGTCAGCTCTGCCTTAACTTGACCTTCCTTCTTCAACACCGCCTAAATAGTGTGAACATTTATGTCACCTCAAATGAACTTCTTCACATGTACACAGCACGAGCAGGATAAATGTTGGTTCCCTCGGGCCACCCCAACTCTAGTGGGTACATAAAACGTCATGAAAAAGGGGTGAGGGCGAGATGACTCACTCGAAGTCCTCAGAACAGGCGGATCAAAGATTAGATGGGGTGCACAGTTTATGTACTATCATAAATTCCATGTCGAGCTGGTGTGGTGCGCGTTGTTACCCACCTCTACCTCTTCCCTAATCAAACCTTCCACTTTAATGGTGTCCATAGTAAATATGGATAATGGCGTCTTAACTAACTTTATGTCGGTCCAAGCCAACCCCAGCTCTTTCAAGGTGTAACTATGAATAATATTTACTAAACTTCTAGTATCAACCAAGGTTAGATGAATCACAATATTATTGATCTCTAACCCAATTATAACAAGTGTGTTTTGGTGGGGGCTTTGACACCCAGGGAAACCAACATCTTGAACATGATCAGTTCCCTCATAGTCTTCTTGGGCAGCGGTGACCTTCAGATCTCGGCCGATTTCACCATATTCCTCCACTTTTTTCGATTGGTAGCTTAATCTCCTCTGATGTTGCTCCGCACGATATTGTATCCATAGTGCCTCTTGTGCTTCCTCTCATCCTCATCGAGGTCTTCACTTTCCCTACCTATACCTTTGCTTGTCTTCCGACCATCCCCACTGGTAATGACAATGGGCTAAACAGACTTTCTCTAGGTACGACCCTCAGGGGCTGGTGTGGATGGACCCAGCTTATACTCTTGCAGTGGTAGTTCTCTAACTATGATATGGTGCATGTTCTTTTTTTCAGAGTAATGCACTCTTTAGTAATATGGGTGCTATTATGATGGTATTTACAATATTTAGGCTTGCCCTGCACCACGAGGCTTTCCCCCTATTGTGGAGTGACGAGGGGAAGACATTGAAAGAAGCTAATAGATACTCGGTCCGCCTGGAATCCTACTGGGTAAGGGCCAATACTAAAGTCCTTTATCTTCCTGCCATTGTTCCCGCCTGCCTCTCCGATCACCGCAGGGATCTTTTTTATCACTGTAACCTTGTCCTAGATATCTTCTCCATGGTCCTTCAAGGCAAAAAAATTGGCCATTGCTGGCATTTCGTCCGTCAAAAATTCACCTTCCTATTTTAGAAATAATTTTGACACGTATAATTTTTTCATCCGCATCACTTTCATTCATACAATTTGTTAATTTTCTACCAAGTAAGATGTAGAACCGACAGAATAGCTCTGTGTCAATCAACGACCCACACCATATAACATCTCTATTTTTTTAAAGGAAAATATAACATCTCAATTAGAGTGATTAGTTTGATTCAATTTTCTATGGCAGACATCACTTTTAAGGACCAACACGTGTATGAATTCGAGTCAATTTATCTTGGATAAAGCTATTTGTACCTCAAGAATTTGTACCCCATTTTGTACACCGCAGGAATGCACCAACATTTTGTATTAGTGTAATGCCAAGTTTTGTTAACGCACCAACAATTTGTGTCAGTGTAAATTTTTGTTAACGCACCAACACTTTGTATCAGTGTGAACCATCAAAATGTTGGTGCATACCTTTGGTATACAAATGGGGTACAAATTTTGGGTACATGTAGCATGCTCCATTTATTTTACTCATCAGACAAATCAACTATCATATTAAATCACATACGTATCAGATCGGTTGACACAATTTCTGCATTCATTCGGAATTCAACATAGATGCACTCGAATAAAATTTACCTCTAAAAGAAAGCTCATAAACACAACCTCAACGGCAAATGTAAAATATACTGCAGAGAATGAAATTTACGTCTAAAAACCAAGCAAGTTGATCCTTAGTTAATAACAAAAATTCTTCCGGGAGGAATTTGTCAGAGTACAATTAACCCCACGTCTAAAGCAGGACAACACATCGAGAATGGTGGTTCTGGAGTGGGAGAAATGGTCGTTTAGAGATCAATAACTCGCGAAAGCTTTTGGATCCGGTTCAACAAGAAATCCCCTTGTTTGATGGTAGCCTGGTATAGAGCATTCTTGGCATCGGGACGGTTTGTTTCTAACACGCCCGCAACTTTGTCAATTTTGCAGTGTAGCTTCCCGGCAGCAATGAAACGGGATAGCTCCCTGTGGAAAAAAAACAACCAAGTAAGAGAATTTGGAACAAAACTAATGAACAATGCTGTGTGTCTCTGACAAGTCTAAAAAGGTTTCAACGTACATATCAATGAAGTCCTCCGACACGCCAAATGCATTAGACATTGCTTCAATTGTGACACTTTTGTAGGATTCCAAGAACTGGGAGTAAACAACAGTTCGCACCTCCCTCATGTAGTAGCGGAAGTGTGGGTGCAAATAACGATCCAATTTGATATGCTCCATTATACCAGCTAGAAACACATAAAACTAATTAGGCAACCGCACCAATTCTTTGTGAATAGCAGTGATAATATGGTCTGTATGGATAAATTTAACGGAGTAATCAAATCCAGTTATAATATGACCGAAATACAAGACATTGAGTGCTTCTTTGGTGCACCTTGGGTGCATACCAATTTTGTGGACCTTCTCACAAAAAAAATAATCGTTTTTTCTAAAAAAACAAATGCTTATTTAAGTAGTAAAGAAATACTTATTTTGCTCATATGTAGGTCCATGGTGGACCTTAGGTCCACCATAGAATTTGCCCAAGACATTGCTATTTGCTAAGTTAGATGCACATGTGAGATTTTCAATTTTAACTTCTTAATTCACAACAAAGATGTCTGTACCAAGAACAATTAATCTACTCAAGTGAGAAGATAGTAACAATGTACGGCATCTATATTATCCAATATAATTCTTTTGCGATTAGGAAGACACGTGCATCCTACATCTCCTGTATATTTTAAGGCGTAACAGTAACATAATCATTCTGGACAAGTTAACGGAAGTGTGGGTGCAAATAATGATCAAATTTAATATGCTCTGCTATGCCAGGTATAATCATGTTTGGATAAAAACTAAGTAATTAGGAAAATGCACAAGTTCTATGGGAATACCAGTGGTAATACATCGCATACATAAAATACAGAGTCACTAAATGCAGTTATAATATTCCTGAAATATGTAGTACAAGCCATTGGTATTTCCTAAGTTAGATGCACATGTGAGATTTTCATTTTAACTTGTTCATTCACAACAAAGATGTCAGTACCGGGGATAATGAATCAACTCAAGTGAGAAGGTATTAGCTGTGTACAGCAGTCTATAATATTCAATATCTTCTTGAGAATATGAAGATACAGATACATACGTCCCATATCTCACATATAGTTAAGAGGTAACAATAGCATAATCATTCCGAAAAAGTTAACGCAAGTGTGGGTGCAAATAACGGTCTAATTTAACATGCACTGTTATGCCAGCTGTAATCCCATTTGGAAAAAAAACTACTCCGTAATTAGGTAACTGCACAAGTTCTTTGTTAATAGCAGTTATAATGTGCTGCATAGGTAACTACTATGGAGTAATTAAATGCAGTTATATTATTAGAGAGATTAAGTCAGATGCACATGTGAAAATTTCATTTTAACTCATATTCGGTTAAATCACCAAAGATGTCTGTACCGGGTACAATTAATCTACTGAAGTGAGAAAAAATCCACTGTGCACAGAAGCCTATAAGAATGCATTATCTTTTAGAAAATATGAGGATACATGCATCTCATATTTCATGTATAGTTTTAGAGGTAAGAATAATATACGGTTGAAACACGGGCTTGTCACGTTTTCGTACTAAAGCCGTGTTCGTTTTTGTAACAGGTTTTGATAATGCCAAACCGCCGTGATCAAGTCGAACATTGAATATACAAGGCGAAGAACGAAGATAAGAGCAAGAGCTAAACGAAGACCAAGAACGAAGACCTTAGTCATAGTATTGAGTCGGTCTTTATTGTGATCAAGACCGACCCAATCTTTACACCTTGGCTCTTTAGGCTAAAATCTCTCATTGCATTTCTTACATCATAAAAATGTTTTTCAAACTTGCTTAAGTCATTAAAAACACTTGGTGGTCGCCCAAACCAAAAACCAAGCCATCCAGTGTTCGGCTTTCAGAAACCAGCGTTCGGCTTTCAGTTGTTGGGTTTGGTTTTTTGGCATCCGAACCAACCAAGT